GAATTAATACTAATCTTCATCCAATTTAGCCACTCACCTCTCACAAGCAGATAGGTCATATTTCATGTTGATGTGTACGTGTTGATCTTGTTAACCAGTGACATTTACATTTTCTCTGGATAAAACTCGAGTCCACACTTACTTCATGGGCACTCTGGAGTTGTGGGCAGAGTAAAAATAAGTTTAAGTAAGTAATGTAATTTCTACTGATTGAATCATGATCAAGCATTTGCATATTCATTACTCTTTGATTTGTGTGCTTTTCACGTTTGATAAGCATGAAGACCAAGTCTAACAAAAGATACTTAAAAGAAATGTGTGAAAAGCAGAACAGGTTGCTATGGATCCATTCATACTGTGTTATATCTTCTTTGTAGGTGGCCCATGAGTTGCAGGCATCTTGATGAATTCATTTGCTATCTTTCAGGTGTGTTTGGTTTGCTAGACAATTTGAAAAGCTATTGGTGTCTTTTCCTAGTTCAAACACTTTCAGAATGAACAATCATTATGAAATGTGAACTTTCATTAGATGTGTTGCTCAGGTGTATTCTTAAGTTTGTGTTGTCTGAAGTGGAGAGAGAATTCTCCCCTCGGTTTGAAAAGCAAATGAAACATTCATCATTAGAGAGGTTAAGGAATTGCCATGAACGGAATCATGTCTTTTCTTCATATGCTTTTCGTTGACTTTGAAATGATTGTTTAAGTGCATGCTTGCACATGTTTGTGAACAAAAAGAGAGAAACATCCACAGGGAAAGAATATACAAAAAAGCCCTCAAAAATGAGCAAGAGTGCGTCTAGAGTGTGGGAGGTTTTTATTATTAGAGAGCATTTAAACTTTGAGTTTGATTTTATTATAACATTTTTATTGTCTTGAAACTTTGATTTTTGAAGAAAAGGAAAATTATTTTTCTGGCAGTATGGTCTTTGGGTATTGATGGATGCAAAACTTGAAAAGGATTCTATTGATGGGGTTTGTAAGTAAATCCTGGCAAAATGTTTTTAACCTTTCTTCTCTTTCTCCTCCTCCTCTTCTTCCCCTTTTCTTTCTTTGTGCCCGGGTATTGAACCCAGGACCCTGGGCGTGGCAGGGAAGCACTCTCCCATTGAGCCACATCCCCAGCAGTGTGAATATTTTCTGGTTGAACGTGAAGATTTGGATGTGTGGAATTTAATGTTCTTGGAAGAACATCTAGGCCATGACATGGAATTTTCACCTTGCCTCCTGTCTAGATCATTGACTTGATTGCTCTCTAATTGTTTTCTGTCATTCTTTTTCTTTCTTTTCTTATTGAGGTGCTGTGGCAGGAAGTAATCACCTTGTACTTGCTGGGTCAGCACTGTAACACTTGAAACATGCCCAGTTTGTTCTCTGAAATTTTTTGAGATGGTTTTATTTTTGACATTTGAGAAGATTGTGTGGCTACAATTTGCATTGCAAACTATGCTGTTATTTTGGAATCAATTACAAGCAGCCAATGTTTTTGAAGCTGCATGCAACATGACAGTGTTTCCTAGCCATACCACTTTTAATCAGATTTTGTGTAAAGTTTGGTGTTCTCTGGGTAATAGAGCTTCTCCATATATCTATCATCACCTTTATTGCTTCTCAGAATTCTCTATTTGCCCTCTCCATAGACTATGAGTAGAGGTCAGTGTATTCATCTTTGTATCGTTGGCCATTGTACTGCAGCCTGATTTTCTTTATATTTTATTTGGAGGTAGTTTTAGAAATACAAAATGTTGACAAAATGGAGATAGATGATCCAAAGTGTGTATGGTCACATGACTTTTTAAATTACAAAATCTAGGAAAGTGGATGATTGTAAGATATATGGGTGGCATAGCCAATGGTAATCAGCAAGAAGGCGTTAAGAAGAGGAGAGTTGAAAAATTGCAGTTAACTTTAGTAATGTGGTTTAACTTTAAAATTCATGCCTCAAAAACTACGTGCCTATTGTGAATTGTGATGCATTAAACATGGAGGTGCAGGTGCCTCTGGAGTAAAATGAGTCGCATTCCTTTGGGTGTATCCCTAGGAGTGGGATTGCTGGACCATATGTCAGATCTAAGTTTAGTTTTTAAAGAAGCCTCCATATTGTTTCCCAGAGTGGTTGTATTAGCTTGCATTCCCACCAGCAGTGTGTGACGGTTCCTTTGTCCCCACATCATCCTCAATATTTCTTGGTGGTGGTATATTTGTTCATAAGTATTCTAGTAGGAGTGGTGTGGTGTTGATTTGCATTTAAGATAGGCCTTTTTAAGGGAAGGGTGATTTTAACTTCCTTGAGGGCTCATGGCTTTCATGGGCGGCAAAATAGTTGGACTACGTTTGTTGCCACGGAGTGGAAACAGTCCCCATCATCTCCTGGATATATGGCAGTGCTGCTAAGTGAACTCCACTCCTCAGAACATTCCCATGACCACAGGGAGATATCATTAGTACTGGAAAGAATTCAGTTGAGTTCATAAACTCTGTGCCACCTGAGGATTGAGCAGATAATTGGTGAAAACTATATGGAATTTTATCGTTAGCCATTTAGCAATAGATGAAATGAGACGAGTCAAATTTCAAAAATATCCCAGCAATGATTGGAATACAGACAGAACACTTGTTTTTTTGCAAGTTGAGAGAACAAAACTGGAGTGAAGTTTGAAAATACATATTTATTCTCTACCCAACAGCCATGATGATATAGTGGTCATTCTGAAGGTATAACCATCATAGAAAAATTTTCCTGGAATAAGAGTCAGTACCCAGTATTCTGACCTTATGAACTATTCCTTGAGAATTTTTCATCTACTTTTTTTATGTGTAGTGGTTATGAAATTATATGTATAAATGACATAGAGAATTAAAATTCATCCAAAAACTATTTTAGGGTTTGTTGACTTATTTTGAAATGTGTGACAATTAGTTTTATACTTTTATGTTATCTTGACTTCAGATCCAAGATTTACCAAGAGTTTGAAGTTGCTCTACCTAATTCTATCAGTCCCCGGAGGGCTACTGCCTTTGTGATCTCTGAAGACTTAGGTCTTAGACTAGCAACTGCTCCAGTGGAGGTAGGTAGCATGTTGAAGTTTTCCCACTGATGTTAGAGTGTCACTAAGCTTAGAACGTTTCAGGTACTCAATTGAGTTTTACAAACCTGATTGCTTCTGGTGCTTGTCATACCTTAGAGATTCGTTGGTCTTACTTTTGTTCTGCTTTAAATTTTAGAGTTCAAGCATATTAAATTGTGGTATGACCATAAATATATCTGAGTAGAAAAGTTTATCATTGACCTGATGTAAGACCAAATGGCTTGAAGAGGGAGAAAGTGTCCCCATTGTCATTCAAGGACAAGTGGAACTTTTTAAGATGTCCCTCTAGCAGACGTTGCTTCCTATGTCATTGATCAAATGGCACCACGTTATTGCCCGATTTTTTATTCTTTGATGGTACTTGGGTTTAAACTTGGGGCTTTGTGCTGACTAGGCAGGCACTCTACCACTTGAGTAACATGCCTGTCCTTAGTTTTCCAGCTACTAAGAGGAATATAGCATCATGAGTGGCCTTAGACCAACACTCTCCACTTGGGTTACATGTCAAGCCCCCTACTTAAAAGAGAGATTTTGTGTGGCATCTTTGCCATCCAAGAATAAAGCTTATAGAAAGTATAACGTACTTCCCCCAAGTTAATATGATGCTATAAGTAAAACACTACGTGAAATAAAAAGGAACAAATATACAGTTTTAGAATCTGTGTTTTAAATGGAAGTGGTCAAAGATTGTTGCTCTAGGTGTGGTGTATTGAAATGTTTATGCCATGCATAGACTCATCCTCTGTATAACAGCTATAAGTGCGGTTTGGTATAGATGCATTATTTCAGTATCTCAGACACCTTGGGTGATGCTACCAGCAGGGATGTGTATTTCTGCACTGGTGGACAACGTTCAGTGAAGTTGCAAACATAACAAAGTGCAGTCTTTTCTTGATTCACAAAAGAGTTGTGTTTCTGAGAAATTCAACATGTGCTGAAAAGTGCTTTGGTTTTATAAATAAGTTGAAATTTCCGGGCTCTGGTGGCTCATGCCTGTAATCCTAGGCACTCAAGAAACAGAGATCAGGAGGATCACGTTTCAAAGCCAGCCCTGGCAAATAGTTCACCAGGCCCTATCTCGAAATACCCTTCCCCAAAACAGGGCTGGTGGAGTGGCTCCAGCTGAAGTCTCAGGACAGTTTAAACAGGTACTTTACATGAATCTAAAGAAACTTTCAAGAATGATGAGGAATTTGAGACTATTCTTCACTGTCTGGGACAATACCGAGTATAGCAGATCTTCACCCACTAAGTGTCAATAGCAACCTGCAGTCATTGTGACAATGTACCATGCGTTATCTGGAAATGCTCACATAAACCTGCAGAGGGCATTACTGCCTCCAGTGCCCCCTTTGCCCTAGGCACATGTGTGTGTGCACATGTAGAAGGGAGTGAGCAGAACATCCCTGGGCCGGCCACATTGAGATATCCCACACAAGTGTAAAATGAAACTAACTGATTGGGCAGGGGTTGTCAAAGCAGATTATGGGGTCAATACAGTGCGACAGAGGAGCAACTTGCTTTGTGTCAGACAGGTTGGGATCCAGTTCTGGCTCCCTTATTGGAAGGTAATATGAGCTTGTACTGATACAGAGTTCCTTGAACTTCAGTTTTCTTTTCTATAAAATAGCGTAACACTCTTAACGAGGTGCAATGCCTAAATGGGAACATTTGTGAAGAACCTGGTTCCTGGTAGGTATTGAAGCACTGTGTTGGTTAGTATGTCAAACAGTAAATCCATTTGCAGGTTTTCATTTGGGGTTAGGTTGTTCGTTTGCTTTCTGTGGATGGGGAAGTGGACATATGTAGGTGGAATTACAAACTTCACAGGCTTCATGAGGACTGATTTAAATTTTATATAATATGAAGCATTTGTACTTGAATAAGAACATGTGCTTATTGTGTTCTTTACAGGTACAAGCCTTCCAGCCATGTTTCCTTTTCTTGAATCTCCCCTACACTGCTATCAGAGGTGAAGAGTTTGCCTTGGCAGTAAGTAGATTCGATTATGGGAAAGTTACCAGAGGTAACATATTCAGGTTTGTTGATTCCTTGCACTTCAGGGAAAACAGGAAGGGATGGGGTGCTGTGCTTGGCATTTGATACATTGTTTCTAAGCATTGGATACATTGCAGGGAGACTGAAAGCAGATGTACTTTGTCAATAACTTCTGCTCGTTAAAGGCTAGTGATCTCCTTAGGAAGGCTACCCATTCTCATCTCAGTTTTCCAGCACCAGTCCTCTTCCTTCCTTATAATTTTGGAGGCCCCGCTTTCTCTCTGCTGCCCCCTGGTGTTTCTCCTGATGTGCCACATCTAGAATGTGCTGCCCCTTCTCACTGCCAGTCTGTGCCTGCTACAGTTGTCAAGAATTTATTCCTTCAAGACTTGCAGTTCCAATGCCTTTTTTGAGGAGCCTCATCCATCCTATAGTCCACAGTCCCCATGGTTGTACTGTGTAGGATACAATTTAGGATTCATTTTGCGAGCCATGTGTCTTGCATCTCCTTAGCTGATCAGTTCCCTGGAGGCAGGGATTAGACTCATTGTTTCTGTTGTCTTCTTAGTGTTGTTAACCAAATATTTTTTTCCCTGCAAGTAACCAATTAACCAAATTGTTATTTTCATAATTTAGGATACCAATTAATTTATTGCCTGCAATGTCATACTTTCTTGAAGTACTTGTAAGGGTACATTTTTCAACTATTTATTCAGTTTGTTTTTGCTGCTGGAGATCTAAGTGTAAACCTTGCTCATTAAGAACATCTTCTACCCCCAAGCTGCAGCCTCTGGGATTTTAGCTTTTTGTTTTTCGGTGCAGGGCCTTCTGCATGCTAGGAATGTGTTATGCTGCTTGAGCCATGCCCCCAGTCTTTGCTTTTATTTTTCTCTTCTCTAGATAGGGATGTGTGTTTTTTGCTCAGCTTGGCCTCATCCCATTACCTTCTTGTCTTCCCCTCTGAAATAGCTGGGATTCAGAGGTGCTCCACCATGTCCATCTTTTGAGTTTTTGATTGTCCTTTTTGAATATAGCTAGCATGGTCCAGTGTAATAAGAAAAACATCTGGAGTTGGAGGCCCATTGTCCACTCTGTCATTCACAGAAAATCATTTAATTATTAAGTCCTTATCTATAAAGTGGGAATCACAATTTTTGTCTACATAAAGTCATTTGAGAAGCAGATGAAAAAATAACTTGGAAAACAGTTCATCAAATGCATGGCCTAGAAAAATGCTATTCTTTATCTACAAGGGGAAACTTGCAGGCTTTGTTATTATTAAGGCTAAACAAGAAGTTCTTTGTCTACTTAAAACTATAGCTCATGTCTGAGCCTGGAAGATGACCAAGGATGTGCTGTGTCCTTCCTCTGCCTCTTCCCATGGCATGTCCCAAGCCGTGTAATAAACCTCCTTTTTCTGACTTCACCATGCCTCTTTAGCTGGAGTTTAGGGGCAGGTGACCTGAAGTGGTATGTGGAATCTCAGGACTTTGGGCCTTGGGTCCAAAACTGCGGTTTCACTCCCACCATTTGTATTGGACGAAGACCATCTACATGGAAGCAGATTTCACATTGGTGACTGTCAGGCAGACACAACTTAACATGGACAAAACTCCACCCAGAATATAAGATCCTCAAACCACAACCGAAACCTTTACCTAAGCTGCAGCAAGCATGTTTTGCTTCAAGAGGTCTTTTTAGTGGCTTTGTGCCATTGCTGACAACTCTCCCTGGGGACGGATGCTACAGAGAACAGATTGAGGTCACAACCACCATATTGAAGACTTAGTGTTTGACTGTCTTCCCAGATCCTGCAAAGGGGGCAAGGCACCCAAAGGTGCCCTATGTCCTGTTCTCTGAGGGGGCAGAGGACACACTGGATTCTGCAATGGGGAGAAGAGAAGATGGCTGAGTCTACAGAAGTGAGATGCACTGTCACAAAAATGGTGACAAGAGATATGATGGACGTAGGACAAACTTTTCTGATTGAAAATTTGCCATATCACACCTCACCCCTGTTAGAATAGCCATCATCAGCAACACCACCACAACAGGAGTTGGCGAGGATGTGGGGAAAAAGGAACCCTCTTACACTGTTGGTGGGGATGTAGACTAGTACAACCACTCTGGAAAAAAATTTGTTTAGCTTTTTTACTTAAAAAGCTAAACATTGATCTACCATTTGATCCAGCAATACCACTCTTGGGGATATAACCAAAAGACTGTGACACAGGTTACTCCAGAGGCACCTGCACACCCATGTTTATTGTGGCACTATTCACAATAGCCAAGTTATGGAAACAGCCAAGATGCCCCACCACTGACGAATGGATTAAGAAAATGTGGTATCTATACACAATGGAATTTTATGCAGCCATGAAGAAGATGGCTGGTAAATGGATGGAATTGGAGAACATCATTCTGAGTGAGGTTAGCCTGGCCCAAAAGACCAAAAATCGTATGTTCTCCCTCATATGTGGACATTAGATCAAGGGCAAACACAACAATGGGATTAGACTATGAGCACATGATAAAAGCGAGAGCACACAAGGGAGGGGTGAGGATAGGTAAGACACCTAAAAAATTAGCTAGCATTTGTTGCCCTTAACGCAGAGAAACTAAAGCAGATACCTTAAAAGCAACTGAGGCCAATAGGAAAAGGGAAACAGGAACTAGAGAAAAGGTGAGATCAAAAAGAATTAACCTAGAAGGTAACACCCACGCACAGGAAATCAATGTGAGTCAACTCCCTGTATAGCTATCCTTATCTCAACCAGCAAAAACCCTTGTCCCTTCCTGTTATTGCTTATACACTCTCTACAACAAAATTAGAAATAGGGGCAAAATAGTTTCTGCTGGGTATTGAGGGGGTGGGGGGGAGAGGGAGGGGGTGGAGTGGGTGGTAAGGGAGGGGGTGGGGGCAGGGGGGAGAAATGAACCAAGCCTTGTATGCACATATGAATAATAAAAGAAAAAGAAAAAAAAAAAAGAAAATTTGCCATATCATATTAGGAAGTATAGACCGTCTTGTCCTCAAGTTTTTGTTTTTCTCTCAAGATGGGTTATTGAACAAGTACTGCGAGTTTCCCACATCACTATGACAGGAGCCTGCACAAACAGAACAGGAGTGTCCATGAGTGGCTGAGAAAAAGGGCAGACCCTGGAGACTGAACTTCTCCTCCGAGGATTGGCAGCTGTAATTAAACTTTCCTCCCAAGCCATGCAGAGAGCTTGATATGAATGGTGTCCCCCTCCCATGGCAAAATGCCTCTAGAGATGCCTCATGGGTAACTACAGGGCAAGGACTGTCCCAGAGGAAGCTGTCCACTACGATGAACAGGACAGAAACCTGACACAGGTTGTCTTAAACCCGGGGATTGGTGGAGGAAAAACAGCTGGATCAGATGGAGGACACCAATCACAAGGAACACACCAAGCAGTGGCTCTGCTAGCTTTGTTACACAGATTTGAGCCAGCTGGGCATTTGCCTTAGAGAGCCTAGGGCACAGGATGTGCAGATGCGTGGTGTCACACCTCCAGAGCGACATTAACAAATCTGGGAAGAGATGGTGTCACTCCAGGGTCCAACTGGCAGGACAGAGCACAGGGTTCTGGCCTCCAGCTCCCGGCCCAAGCCTCTGCCTTCATTCCCCCATCTTACACAGACCTTCAGAGGGAGGATCAGCCAGCCTGGACCCCAAGCTCCTCAGTCTCCCGCTAGACAAGCAAAGCTAATGGATGGCCATGAAGTCCCCAGATGTTACTAAGGAGCTCTTTGACCCAAGGACCTGCCATCTCCACAATGTCACTTTCTCTATGCCTTGTTTCCTTTTTATTGCAGATTGTGTCTGGGCTGAGTCCCCCTGTGGGGAAGTGGGGTGTTGGGTTAAAGCACTGACTGGTGGTTGTCCTATATCCACACTTTTAAAAGGCACTCAAGTTTCTTTTGCTGAAAAGCACTGACTTCTTACTTTGCCCATGAATTAACTATAAACAGGAGATGCTTTGCATCTTTGTCTCCATTTTGTACCTGTTGTCCTTTGCTCTGAGCCATTCTCTGCTGCAGCCTCCTTGGAATCATGGAAGGACAGGAATGACCAATAACGTCTTTATGACAATGACTGAAACTTCCATGATGAGCAGTGGAGACTTGTAGGACAGACCACTGCTCCAAATGAGGACAATGAGCTCTCATGATGAGGCTGCACCCTGGAGCAGGAACAGTCATCTCATGGGAACAGGATGACTCCCATCAAGTGATGACAGTGATGACATCTTTTCTGGAACCACTCTGGGAACCCTTGAACTGAGATAATGGACAACCAGATCACACCTGCGACTGGTACTGTTTACCTATGCATACCTTTGTCTCCTCACCCCAATTCTTTGACACTTAAACCTGTAGCTCATATCTGCACTGCAAACATGGCTGAAGAGGAGCTGAGTGCTTACTCTACCTTTTCCCAAGCATGTCCTGAGCTGTGTAATGAACCTCTTTGTGTGCCATTGAAACAAAAGGTCAAACAGGACTCTAAGCCATTTAAAATTTATTTAATTAAGTATAAAGTTACCTTTACACTGGTCTACAATGACAGCAAATACATTTCTTGCCATAAAGACACAGAATTTGGAGTTTAAAATAGTCCCACTGAAGATTCCATATTAACATTGTTGTTAGTGTAAGTTTGTTTTAAATAATCAACTTAAAATACATATACTATCTACAAAATGAAATTAAAATGCACTATCTATATACAATGAATTCATATTTAAAGCATCTGTTAATAAAATAATATCCTGAGTATTACAATTCTATGAAGCTTGATTTTGATGTAAAGTATAACGACTGAATAACAGTTGTAATTTGTAATGAAGATGAGACAGTAATCAAAAGAACTCTGAAAAGAGATCTTACTTTCACATTGGTCTCTAATTGTAGTAAATATATTACTTGGCATTAAGACACAAACTTTGGAGTTTAAAATAGCCCTACTACAAGATTATATCCATACAACTCTAATTGTTCATGTAATAGTGGCTTAAATGATAGAGTTAAAGCAGTTACACTATCTAGAATAAAATGAAAATATAGCAGAACAGAACTAAAATAAGATTCATATTTAAATCATCTATTTATAAAATACTATCCTGACACTTATGCTTTGATTAAGCTCGAGTTTGATGTAAAATGTAATAACTAAATCACAGTATTACTTTGAAATGAAAATGAGACAGATATCAAAGACATTGGGAGAAGAGATCTTACTTTTGTATTGGTCTATAATTACAGTAAATAAATTTTTTGGCATGAAGACACAAGATTTGGTGTTTAAAATATCCCCACTGCAAGATCATATCCATAAAACTCCAATTATTATTTATGTAAAAGTGCATTAAATAATCAAGTTAAAATAATTACCCAGAATAAAATGAAAATTAAATGATAATATCCATATTGAAATCATCTATTTATTAAATGCTGTCCTGAGACTTACACTGTAATTATGCTTGAATTTGATGTAAAGTTTAATGACTAAGTAACAGTGGTAATTTATAATGATGATGAGAGAGCAATCAAAAGTAATTTGGTAAGAGATCTTACTCTCACATTGGTCTACAATTACAATGCATATTTTGGCATAAGGACAACAGCCTTTGGAGTTGAAAATAGCCCCACTGTAGGCTTACAGACATAAAACTCCAATTCTTATTTATATCATACAGGATTAGATAATCAAATGAAAATAGCTATTCTATCTGGAATAAAATGAACATAAAATATACTATCTAAATAAAAGAGAATGGAAATAAAGTAATAAGATTTATATTTAAATCATGTATTTATAACATACTATTCTGAGAATTAAATTTCTAAAATACTGAACTGGAAGTAAAGAATAATGGTTAATTAACATACAAGTTAACAGTAGTAATTGAAACAGAAAATGAGAGAGAAGTGAAAAGTACTTTGAAAAGAGATCAGTAGATTGCCAGGTTCCTTCTTGTGGTTCTAGATGTTCAGTAATGGCATTGTTTGAAGGTAGAATTGACCTTGACGAAAACTCAGTTCTACTTTGAGAATGTGGGTGCAACAGGAACATCCAGTTCTTGAGGGAAGTTAATTGGGGACAGCCCTGGGTGAAGAGACATTTCTCACTGGAAATGGAGGATGTGGTGGGCCCGGGGAATCCCTTGGTGTAAAATGATCTGAGGAAGCTGAAGACATCTTGTCTGGAGGAGGTGGTGGAAAAGGTGGGCCTCTTCTCAGAAAATGGCTCTTGGGATCCATTGGGAACACTACCCTTGGTGGTATAAAATGGTGAGGAGCTCCAAACATATTTCCTGGGAGGGGTGGTGGAAAAGGCAGTCCTTTTCTCAGGAAGAGGCTCCTAGGTTCCACTGGGAACAATGGACTCGGATCAGAGGAACACAACCAGGGCCCACTGCTTTGCCTTTAGCAGGGAGGGATGAGTCAAGCACATTTGAGTGATCACAATCACCAGTGGTATCACCTCTAGTAGATTCCTTTTCTGAATCCAAAGGAGGCATATCAAAACTTCTGAGTTCTGCTGGTTCAGGGAATTTACCAGAATGAGAACAAAGTCTGTCTTGCCTCTGTGGAGGAAAAGCTGGATTGGTATTTGGTTGGCCTGATGGAGGGGTCATCATCCTTCCGTCCTGTTGGGATGGATGGGACGGCGAGCCAGTCTCAGGAGGTGCTCTACAAGGGCCAGATAGACTGTCACAGGTTGCCTCTCCTCTTTCATTGGGAATGGGATGGTGCAGAGGATTCTCCGGGCTTCTTGAGCTTTTTCCTCCTTCCTGAGGAAGCCAAGGTGGGGGTCTCAGTGGACCTTCCAACAAAAGCAGAGTGAGAAGAACTTTCCTTTCAGAAGAAGGTTGACCCAATGGCGGAGCACCAGGTGAAAAAGGCTCTCTGCCATATGCTGCATGTGAAATATCAAATGGATATTTGATATTTGATACCTTCTACCATTTCGATTCTAATTGCATTTTAATTAATTTTTGTCTTTCACTGGCATTTACCATTGTAAGATAGTTAAGTTGTTTTTTCAGAATTCTGGGCTACCAGCCAATTTCAATGAGCTTTTTTCTTTTAGTATAGAGTCTGCTTTTGATAGTAACAAATGATTCTAAGTTTTCTGATCACTCTCTGGCTACATTTTTACAGGTCTCCAGGTCTTCAGCTGCATGACTGATCTTTTCTTATGCTTGGGAACATTTCTTATCTGTCTCTAGCTGGTAACAATCCTCTGCCATGAATTTCATACAGTATATCCTTCTCTTTTCTTCATGCAGTTAAGTGGTGGTCTGAAGATTCTGCTGAAGCTTCTGATTCTCCATTTCAAACCTTATCTTCTCTGATTGTAAAAAGGCTTCTCTAGTGTGGAGAGTTTTCATATGCTCTGTGAAGTCTTCCCTCATTCTATCTACTTTACCCAACTGAGTATAAATTTGGTTTCATTCTCCTTCTAAGGATTTTAATGAAGCATTTAACTTCACCACATATACCAGTCTCTCCAGAGCTCCTCTTTTCTGATTATGAAAGTGAGGACCTTCTCCTGGTCTACTCTCCCTTTGTAATTCACAGTTACCATTGTGTGTCATGTCTTCTCCAAGGACAACAACCCACACTTTCCTCTTGACCATCTGAAACCAAATTTCAGAGTTAATGTGTTCTTCCTTATTTTTTAGAAGTTGTTTTGCATGTGCCAAGGTGTCAACTGCCATCTTCTGATTCTTCAGTTCACTCACTCATTCCTTCCACACTTCTGCTTCTTCTGGAAGCCACTTGCAGCTTTCCTGAATCTGGGAATTTCCCTTCAGAGCATCTGTTACCAAGTCCTTCAGATGCAATCCATTGTTTCAAAGTATTCTTAAGGTTCTTATGGCGTTCAGTACGTTGGATTCCAGAGATTTTGATTTATCTTCTAGATCCCATATCAGTTTTGCCATTTCCTTCATCAATTCAAGTTGTTTAAAGGTTTAGATTTGTCTGCTTTCAGCTGTTTTTCTACAAGGAGGACTTCATCAAGATTAGACTTGGATGTTTTCATTGTTCACAGGCTGCCTCCAAAATCTGTGCTTCCATTGAGCCTGTCTCAAAGCTGGCATCTCTTAAAGATGACACAGAGGCATCATGCTTTTTTTCTACAAGGCTAACTTTTTCAAGAGGCTGACATTTTCTTCAATGAGTCCAGAAACTTCGGTAGCAAGGTTTGTTTCTTCTCACCTAAAGTCAGCTTGTTACTGACTGAAAACTTCTGCACTAAAGCAATAGAATGGAAAAAAGACCAGGATCTCTCCATATAGCAGCAGTTTCCATGGAAAATCACAGAGCTTTGGTCTCATTTCTTCAGGGATTTTTGTCACAATCCTGAAAAAGTCCTTTGGGTGAACCCCAAGCATGACTGATGACAGCTTTGGGGCCATCCATGGCACAGAGGCTGCTCTGGCTGTTCCCAAGGCCAGGCTGAGTGTCAAAAGGCAACAAACACTCAAAGTTCTTCCTGAAACCCCAAGGCTCACCTCACAGCTGAAGCAGACCACTGTGGAGTGGGTGGTGTGGGGGATTCGGATGGAGTTCTTTCTCACTCAGTTCACTCTATCCACAGCAGAGGAGCTTTTCCACTTCCTTCAACTTTACAGGGTATTTGCCAGGTCTTGGCTAGTAGGTCTCACTGTCTTTTATAAAATGGATAATGATTTCTCAGAAATCCTAAAGCTCATCTCATCACCCTCATTGATAGAACTGAAGGACGTACTGCAGGACATCCTAGAAAGTGAAAAGTGGTCAAGGAGACACCTCTCCTACCCAGGAAACCTCTGTCTGCACCTGAGAGACATCCCTGCCCTCAGGCAATATTCAAAAATGCTATAAAAGCCCAATCCCCAACTTGAACCATGGGGCCACCCGTCTCCATGCCCCCCTGCATTCCCCACTATGTAGTCTTTCTCTTCTCTTCTCTACAAATACAATCTTTTTGACAAATTTTGTTGGAGTTCACCTGTGCTTTCATTGTCAGAGGGGGATCAATAACCCTGAGCATCTGAAATTCCTGTGTGTGTAATCCGTGCATCATATGTGGTGACCACGATAGGACAAGCCATCACCTGAGGTTGGTGTAGGTTGTGCCAAACTGTGAAAGGCTACCTAGGAATGTTACCATGATTTCCTGGCACTCCAGTGGAGTCTATTTTACAGGAGAGCCCTTCCACCATGGCTTAGCTACAGTGAAACACTCAGGCCAATGTTCTCTCTCTCTCTCTCTCTTTCTCTCTCTCGCTCTCCCCCCTTGGGAAACTGAGGAAAAGCTCCATGCCAATTGTGGCTGTAAGGCAGGCAATCTGTGACAACTCAGATGCTCGTTTGGGGCTTATACCAGACTGCCAATGCTACGTGGGTGGGGCCAGACTTTCATGCACAGAGGCTTTTTTTTCCTCCCCTTAAACTCTAACACTCTTCTCTTTCAAGATCTGATCTGCTTAAGAGGAGGTCTGAAAACAGCCAATGGAAAGGAAAGTTTCTCTTCAAGCTATAAAAGGTGTTCTGGCTGGGACACTCCCCAGTGTCATACTAAGGCTGGAGATGCAACTACCTGACCCGCCATGGGGCTGCAAAGGTGGCTAAGTCTCAGACCACTCCAGCCATGTCCATGGAAAACAGATAATCTGATCTCTTACGCCTCCTTCATGGTTTCCCTGGCCAGAGAGTGGAGGTCACCCCTTGCTTCC